TGTCTAAGACCTCTTCTAACCACAATTTTGCCTCTCGGTTTTCCATTGATAATAACAGAAAAGTTGGTGGTAATGAGGCAGCCATGGATCCACTTTCGCCATCTCCTATCAAAGCCTTTCGCCTGAAGCACCAAGTCAAGAAAAGTCCAGTCAACTCTATCATAAGCCTTTTCAAAATCAAGCTTCATTAAGATCCCCCTTTTTTTTCTGTCTTTTCCACTGAGTAACAGGCTCGGTAGCAGTCAGGATAGCATCTAGAATTTGACGACCCTCTACAAAGGCTGCTTGTTCATGAACAATAGCTAGAGGGAGAACTTTCTTTAAGCGGGCAGCAAGCACTTTGGCCAAGATCTTGTATAGAGAATAGACAAGACTAATTGGCCTGTAGTCTTTCACCAAAGGGGGAGTATTCTTTTTTGGGATGAGGCAAATGTAAGTTTCATTTGTGCTTTTGTTTACAATTCCTTTCTTAAAAAAATCTTGAAACACCGTAACCAGATTGGGTTTAAAAATGTTCCAAGCCTTTTTCATGAATTCATTGCTCATTCCGTCGGGTCCCGGGGATTTTAAGGAGCCGAAATCATTAACAGCCTTACCAATTTCTTCCTCTGTAAAGGGGGCACTCAAAAGGGTGCTAGTTGTTGCCGGAATAGGGTTCCACTCGATATTCTCTAAGGCCAAACACTGATCAACCGTAGTGGTGTAAAGGGAGGAAAAATACCTTAGAAATTCAGCTTCAATCTCGGCCTCCTCTGTCAAAATATTGCCTTGTTGGTCTTCAATTTCAGCTATCAAAGCCCGGTTCTGCTTGTGTGAAGTTCATTTGTGGACAAAATTTGAGTTTTCATCTCCTTCGTTCAGCCAACTCAATTTTCCTTTTTGGGCCCAAACTCTCTGTTCAATAGTAATGGCCTCTAGAAGCTCTAACTTAAGGGCCTTTCTTCTGTCTCTATCTTCCACTGAGAGAGGTTGTAAATCCTCCAGACTATCAATGTCTTTTAAAAGTGAAAGCTTCTTTAGGCCCACATGACCAAAGACCTCTCTGTTCCATTTTCTGAGAATCTCCCTTAGGCCTTTCAATTTCTCCATGAACCCAAAACCTGGCCACCCTCTGAGAGGATTTGATAACCACCACTGTTCAACAAGGGGAAGCAACAAGGGGGACTCGAGCCAAGCATTTTTGAATCTAAAGGGAGTGGGGCCCTATTTCAAGCTAGCCGAATACAACTGAATCGGGAAATGATCCGACGTGGATTGGAAAAGGCGAGAAATCTTCTGATCAAGAAAGGTCATCGCCCAGTCTTTGGTCAACAGAAACCGTTCAAGGCACGACAGGGAGGGAGAATCCCGGAAATTAGACCACGTAAAAAGACAATTGTCCAAGTGGGGCTCCATCAGATTTAGAGATTCAATTAGAGAGTTAAACTCTTTCATACTACGGGTTATTCTACCAGGTCTGGTGCCCTGTTTCTCAGATAACCAACGGCTTTCTGATTTGGTGATTTGGATGACTAAGTTCCCATAGAAAAAATTTCACCTTTTTTGGATAAGAGTCCTTCCAAATGCCTTCATAGAGATGCTGTGGTGGAGTCGGACTAGGTTTTGTTATATCCTTGATGAGGGAGTGGGTAGAAAAGATGCCAATTATTTCTAGATTCCATGAAACAATATCAGCCTCCATGGACAAGTGTATAGTAGAGAGAGATCTGCCCATTCCACTATTTCAGCATCCTTAAGGTTCCTCCTCATCCCCAAATTCTAGCAGCTGTTTTCTGCTGACCAAAGGTCTACGGAAGCCTTTTTTCATGGATAAAGCAAAGAGGAGAGGTGTGTGCTATTCCAAGGAATCATTGGTCAACCAAGGGACAATCTAGAAAGGTGTGTTGCTGCCATCTCCTACTTTATAAGCCACTCTATCACATACCAGCTTATGTGTCTTGAGGATCCCCTTCCAAGGCCCTTTTCCTATTGGTATGGTGTTCGTGTTTGGTTTAAGGGACCATGATGAAAGCCCATACTTGACTTCGATCACCCTATGCCAAAGTGATGATCTCTCCTTTACATAACGCCAAATCCACTTAGCAAGGAGTGCCTTGTTCTTCTGTTTCATATTGGTAAGGCTCAAGCCCCCTTCAAGAACCGACTGTTTTTTTTTTTGGAACAAGATACAAACTTTTCATTGAAAGTATGAAAAGGAACAAAAAGTGATTAGGTAATAGGTAGCCCAATATAGCACAGGAGTATCCTTGTTGCCTTTCCAGAGAAAGCTTCGAAAGAGGCTATCTAAGGTGTTTGCTATTTTAGAGGGCATGGAGAAAAGTGACAGGTAATAGGTAGGGAGGTAGGATAATGTAGCTTGAATGAGTGTGTGTCTACCACCTTTGGAGATGAAAGAATTTTTCCAAGAGTGTAGTCTTTTCTTAACTTTCTCAACCATAGGTCCCAAAAGGAGAGTGTTTTAGGCTTGCCATGCAGAGGGAGACCAAGGTAGGGGGTAGCCAAGATCCCATTTTGCAAGAAAATTTTGCTTCCAAGGTAGAGAGCTCACTGTCATTTAGGTTGACTCCCAGAATTTCTGATTTTTGATGGTTGATCTTGAGCCAAGATGCCTCTTCGAATGTCTGGATGATTTTGAACAGATTGGTGAGGAAGGAATCATCATACGTGGAGAAAAGAATAGTGTCAATGGCGAATTTTCGGTGGTGTATGTTCAAGGAATTGTGTCCAAGGTCAAAGTCCTTAATGAGATTGTGCCCAGCTGATTGAGACATGAGACGGCTAAAGATATCACCGACCAAAATAAAGAGGAAGGGCGATAAGGGGTTACCTTGTCGAAGGCCTCTTGAAGCAATAATTTTCCTTTTAGGCAGCCATTGATAATGATGGAGAAGTTTGCAAATGAAACACAACTTCGGAGCCAACGTCTCCAAGTATGCCCGAACCCTTTAGCCTCAAGGAAAGCATCTAGAAACTCCCAGTCAACACTGTCTAAAGCCTTTTCAATGTCCAACTTAATGACCACTCCTTGCTTTTGTTGTCTTTCCCAATTCTCAATAAGCGCATTGGCGATTAGCGAGACATCAAGAAATTGTCTCCCAGCCACGAAGGCAGATTGTGCATTGGTGATAGTATGTGGCAGCAAATGCTTTAATCTCTCGGATAGAACTCTTGCAATGAGCTTGTATAAGCAAGAGATTAAACTTATAGGCTGGAAATCCCCTACTTCAAGCTTTTTAGGAATGAGGCAAACATGAGGTTTGCATTGATAATTCCATTAAAAAAATCTTGGAACTCTCTCAATATATCATCCTTGAGGATGTTCCAAAACCTCTTGTAGAATTCGATAGTGAATCCTTCGACCCAGGAGACTTATTTGTTCCAAGATCTTTGATAGCATTCCAAATTTCCTCTTCAGTGAAGGGTTTCTCGATCTCTATGCTTGCTGGAGGGTGATTGGGCTCCAGTCCAATGTTCGTGGGAGGAATCTTTGACCATCCAGGTTTGTATATAACCTGTCAAAAATTTGACACAAGATCATACCTCATCCCTAGACCTACGTAACCCATTGAAAATTCTCATATTTGTCTCGAGTCGAATCTCCCACAAAATGACAAAGAGTACAGAGCGAGAGGACACGACCCTTGTTGTGGAAGGGGGTTAAGCACCTCCTCCATCATCAAAACAAAAAGCATACACAAACCAAACTAGCTAATTGGTAGATCCCAACAAGTAGGATGATAGGAATGACCTTTGGGGTAATTAGGGTTTTTAATATAATAGTAAGAGTATGTTAGTAATTATATAGGGAAGTTGTTAGGGAGAGTTGTTATAAATAAGAGTGGGGAAAAAGATAGAGGAGGAAATTGTGTGGTGTGGTCTAGGATTGAGTGATCAAGAGGGGAGGGTTCAAGTACCTTGAATGAGTTGGAGATTATTGCAATCCTTCTATCGGTTTATCTTTCAATCTATTTTAGCTATTTGGTTCCTACCAGAGGAATTCCGAAGGATGCACTCCATGGTGTTCACCTTCCCATGTGACACCTCCCAAGCAAATAATTTGACCTTCTTCAGACTTCAACTTTCTATAACAAGGAGAACAACGGAAATAAAATAGAGAAAAGTTTAAGACCAAGCAGAAGGAAGAAAAATGTACAAGAAAAACCCTCTGAAGGAGAAGGGGAACAAAAACAAACATCCTACTTTTTGAAGGCACATTGACAAAATCAAGCATAGAAAGTAAAGTAGAAACATCTGCCATCTTCCTATCCAACAAAGAGCGACGAAAACCAAATCTAAAAGAAGAGGAACTGCCCTATGAAGGAATGAATGCAAGCCATAGAGATATGACTCAAAGAAGAGAGATGGTACAAATGAGGGAATAAAGAACAGAAGGGAGTGTCTCCCACTTTAAAGTTCTCCCAAAAGCAAGCTTTCAAGCCATCCCAGTAGAGACTTTCACGAATTTGGAGAAGGATAACCTAAAGAAATAACTCTATAATGGTTTTTGGATGTGACTTTAGACCCATGAACTGAAAGGCCACTCAAAAGGGTGGAGGACCATATTTACTTACAACGCCACAACTACTTAGGCCAACAAGACCTCATTGATCTGAAACCCTCTCTCTTTTTGTTAGATTACACTGCAATGATAAATTAAAGTAAGCTTTCAAGCCATCCCAGTAGAGATTTTCACGAATTTGGAGAAGGATAACCTAAAGAAATAACTCTATAGTGGTTTTGGGATATGACTTTATACCCATGAACGAAGGCCACTCAAAAGGGTGAGGACCATATTTACTTACAACGCCACAACCACTTAGGCCAACAAGACCTCATTGCACTGAAACCCTCTCTCTCTTTTTGTTAGATTCACTGCAATGATACATTATATCTGTAGTGCTCTTTTTAATTTATTTACAATTGATTTTATAACATGGGTGATCCGAAATGGAAATAGAATACCCTGTTTTGATCCTAACAACAGCTAATTGTCCATTCAGATGATGTGGGCTGCTGATTTTGACGAATCAAGAGTTTACAATTTAGAGGGTAGTTGTCTGGAAGCATTGACATTACAACTACCAAGAGGCTCGGGAGTTGAAATAAGTGAGGGAAGAATAGCCAATAGTCAGAACAACATGAATGACACCTTACAATCCAATAATGGGAATTTAGAACGTTCTTCATGTGACAATGCTGGAATGAAGTCAACATCTGCCCATGCATTTTGTGGCTTGACAAGGAATCTTTGTTCAAGAAATGATCATATGAAGAAGTGCTCTGTAATATCATCAACTAAGCAAGGAGATGATGAGCTTCCTGTTTTTTGTGTTGCGGCAATCCTTATAATGAATCGCCCGAAGATAATTAGAGAAACACGTTCTATTGACGATCTGATTAAGGTAGGTGCATTTGAATGGACTCTGTTAATTGATTCTGGTAAATATTACCAGTTTTTTTCTATGGCAATGTTTTTGTTATGGCTCTTGTTTGGTGTAAATATTTTTTCTTTCCTTTCGCACAATATAGCTTAAATAACATTTTGAAAAACTGAAAGGCTTTTTTGTAAGTCTGGTTGACCGGGAGTTTTTCTCCTTTTTGTATATTTCATATAATCAATGAAATATCAGTTCATGTGAAAAAATATGTGCTATTCATCTAAACATATAGTTCTATTAGACACTGTTTAGTAAATATAGGAGATTTTCTGATTTGTCTCTTGGCTGGTTTTTCTATTGCCTGCTTGTTTCCCCTCAAATTAGATGTTGGGTGTGCTTAATATGTTACTTGTTTGAAGAATTTGGATGGACGATCACGTTCTTTCTAGTCTTCAAATACACATGAGACAATCTCATTCTTTTTTCGTTTGTGAGGCAAACTTGACTTTATTTCATAGGGCAGTACCTTTTGCTGGATTCCCCTTTTTGAGTATAAGCTAGTGTATCTTCTTTGAATACTGTTTTAAGAAATGCTGACAAGGACAGATTGGTATGCATGTTCTGAATTCGGCAAGGGTGACTAAATGTGGAATTAATATCTTTGCAACATTGTTTGACATGGGTCTTGGTCCATAAAGTAGGCAGTTGGTGGCAAATATGTCATATTTGCAAATATAGCACGAGGTCTATCACTGATAGAAGCCCCTCTACAAAACTGTCATATTTGGAAATATAGCACTAGTGGAGTAATATTTTGCACATATGACAATTTTGTAGGGCGTACATCTATCAGTGTCTATGAGTGATTGACGTATATTACTGATAGTTTCTCATTGATAGACCTATCATTGATAAACGTGTATCAAGATATTGATAGACACTCATAAACACTATCAGTAATGGACACTAATAGATGTGTGGGGTTGAGATATGTTGATGGGTTTTTTTGAAAATTGTTCCATATTTACAATTTTTTTAGCTTATACTGGATCTGCTATTACTTTGGACCAGCTTATACGACCTCTTTCAAGAAATATGATTAGAGAAATGGTTAGAGGTATTATTAGGATACTCGGGATATATTAGTCATTATTCAAAGAGTTTGTTAGAAAGAGTTGGTTATAAATAATGAATTAGTAGGAGTTGGTGATTTTTGGAGCTTTGTTCTTTGTTGGATTGTTTTTGCCTTTTCCACCCCATTTGAAATTTGCATCCTTGAACATTTTCCTTCCTTTTCATTATATATATATATATAATGAGACAGGTAGGCTTTTTTTTTTTTAACCATAAACAACATTTTGTTAGATGAAAGTATACAAAATATTTTGGGAACAACCCCAAAAGGAGAAAATAGTATCCAATGAACAACCAAACTCACCAAAACAACAAACTATTAAGCTATTTTTTCTGAAGTTTATAGCTTCAAATGAGTGGTTTGATTGCTTAAGGCCTCTCAATGGTGTTCATTCTCTAAGTTATTTGTTATTTATTCTGTTAATGATATTTTTGTTTATTGCAGTGCTTTTATTTTCGGCAGTTAGGTTTTTGTTATTTTTTTACTTATAGGAGTTTGTTTTCTTGAGCACTTTTTTGTATCTTTTCATCAATTCATTGAAGAGCTTGTTTCTTGTTGAAAAAAATGAGAAAGGGAGGCAATACATTGGGTGTCCAGCATTGAGTGTGCTAAAGGGAGGATCTAAATACCTTGAATTACTTGGGAGTTATTGTACTTTTCTTACCTTTCATCTTTGAATACAATTTTATCTAGTTCTTACCAATTTTGTGATCACAGCATTCAACTTTGGCCATGGAGTTAAACAATGTAGAGAGAATTGTTCCCACTGCACCAGTTGAACTTTGGCGTATCAATGATAACATTGTTTCCACTGTACCAGTATTGATAATAACAGCACAAACCTTACTTTTGACTGTTTGCTGAGACTTGAAAATCAAAGTTATGCACTTCTGGTCTGGGAGGATGTTTTATCTGTTTTCTTGTAATCATGTTTTACAAGTGTCCGTAACATACTAAAAGTACATTAAGAATTGAAATTCTTATTCCCTGTGGGTGTTTGTGTTTGCGTATGGTTATGTGTTTGGTCAAATACCATAAAAAGTTTACAAGTGTCTGTAACATACTAAAAGTTTCTTAAGAATTGAGATTCTTACTTCCTGTGGATGTTTGTGTTTGTCTATGGTTAAGGTGTATCATCAAATACCATAAAAGGCTTACAAGTGTCTATAACTTACTAAAAGTACCTTAAGGAGGTTTAAAATTACTCTGAAACAACGCTTAGTTAATTTGAGTTGCTAAATTTCTTTTGTCAAGTATTCTTCTATCTCCCTCTTCTCACCCTTCTTTTGCGGGTGGGTTGGGCAGTGGAAGAGTGATGAGGGTGTGTACTATTTCACGTCTACAGCTGGTTTTAACAATTGTCATTTGACAGATTTTTAATGATAAGATGCTGAAGATTAGCGTCAAAAGATGTATACGTACAGCAATAAAAATGCGGAAGAAATACCTTTACAAGGTGAGATGCATATTTTAATTTTTTATCTGGATTTGGCCGTATTGATTTTTTAACGCACTAATGGCTATTAACCCTTTTTTCTCCTGAAGGGCAAAGTACACTGATGTGACATTTCTGCAGTCATAAACTGACAATCAATTATCTTTGGTTGCTTTTATTAAATTTAGATGATCCATGATACGTGACCTACCCCATTGCCCCCATCATTAAGTTACTTAGTGATAACCTTGCCGAATGAATTTTTTTTTTTTTTTTTGGGCAAAACTTTGCACAACAATTCTTTTCTTTTTTATTATTATTTCGGAATGTAGTGATATTCTTCTTCTTTTGGAGAATTTTTTGTGATCACAATGGATTGAACGACTGGGAGGATATTTTATATTGTTCATTTCGCATTATTGTTAATGTTTATGTTTTTTTAATTAGCTTCTTATCCAAAAAATTATTATCGAAGTATTTTGAAACTTGGCCTTTTTCATATCAGGTAATCAAGAAAAAGAGCCTCCAATCTCACAATGAGGACTAGAAACTGCACCATTTATACAATGCAACAAAAGTACAACAATAGCAGGTATTTTAAATGGAACAGTTGATGAAAAATGCATTGGCAGTTCAAGGATTCATGCTGATGTTTATGCAACTGTTCTCTGCTTCAGATCATTTATCGGTAACTTTACAATTGGCTCTCATTGTCTGCATTTTTAGCTGTCCTTGGTACAATAGAATATAGATACATTTTTATTCTTATAACTATCCACCGTATTATTATTGAAAATATTGTAATTTTCCTTGAATAAGAGTTCTAATTCATTCTTTTCTCTCTCATCATGCGTGAGAGGGTGAATTAGAGATATCAGGTTTCAATCCGAGTGGATAATTTCCTTCTCGATAGAGGAATTATGAGATTTTTGCACCGTTCTGTACTTGTTCTTTTTTTGTGCATTCCAGGTGTTAACATTTTCTCTTAGATGGGTTTTCTTTCTACTGTCCAAGGGGTGTTTCAAGAAATTTAGATGTCTGATATCCTCATATGTTCTAGGAGTTAGATATTCGACAGCCTTGAATAATTGTGTTTTTTTTTTGCTAGAAAATCTTATGGAGATACATAAAAGCACTTTGATCGTTTGTCTGATAGGATTTGTAGATGTGAATGCAATATAGCATTCGACTCAATGATACTTTTATTATAATATATTTTATTCTAAGCTTTATTTTTTTTCCTAATGAATTTATATTGATTTAATATTTTACTACAAACTTTGAATTTAATTATATTAATTTAATGTAAAGTAATTAATATATTCTTTTAGTGAAAACTTTATTGATCTATGAATTTACTTGATTCTTTTGTCTTTGAGTTTTATGGAGATGCTATAAGGAGGAAAAATGCTCTCTGGGTTTTCCCTCTCTCTTTTCAGCAAGTTTCTTCTTTAATTCATTTTTGAGTAGCCATTGGCTCTGGTTAGTCTATGGATAGCTTGGTTAGTAGTTGTTGCATTGCAAATAAATCTTTCTTTGTTCGTTTTATTCATGGCAATTATCTTTTAGAAGAAAAAAGGATTGTTATTTCTTTATCAAGCTTCAATGGAATCTTTTGATATGGGTATAGCAAGTTTTTTCTCAACTTTGGAGGTGTCACTGTCAAATTTTGTAAGCAGATGAGAGGTGAACAAGGCTTTTTTAGGGTCCCACTGCCGCCACCTAGGGATCTGCCGCCAAGTTCCAAAGCAGTGAGGTTTAGTGTCTTTCACATTATTTTCTACATGGAAATCATGAAATCAATAGTTGCTTTGTTGAGAATAGACTTTTTAGTATATGGTTTGAAGATGAGTTCTTTAATATTGAAGATATGTGTCACAGGGAGCTGTTGTCTTTGAAATTTGCCCATTTATTTTGGTTTGAAAACCGTTTGGTCGAATTACTGCAATTACCAGAGCACGAGTATTTCTTTTCACATGAAAGGATTGAGTTTGGTACTTGTAGATTGAGGTAATTCAGAGGCAACCTAGGAATAGTATTGAATGTATGGTATGACCTTCAAATGGGGTAAGAAGAAAGCTTGTTATTTCTGCAAATCTAAGGAAATCTGGGTGGTTAGCCTTCTGGGATATGCTGAAGGGTTGTTTGACTTGTTCTGCTATGAAAGGACATCAGAAAGATGATTTTGGGCCATCTTATATTGAACCCCTAAAAGGTAAAGTTGCATTACAAGGAAGGAGGGACACTTTCTTGGTGGTGCATAAACTATAGAAAATTCTTTTGCAATTATAACCTTTCCATGGTTATGAGCAATTAGAAAACATTGATTTAGTCCTCGGGTTGGGTTCCTCTACCTCAGTCCTTAGGTTGTCTCCTCTTGTTTTGTTGGTTAATATAAACAAGTCTCTTATCTAAAAAAAAGGTAGGAAGGACACTTTATTGATGGAAAATAAGGAGGTTTCCTTTAAGAGTCCTTTAAAGCAATTTTAGATTAGAATGGATTCAGAAGTCTTGGAGTTAGATTGTGACAACACCATGGTCATCTCAAAATTTAGTGCCTCAGACAGTTGGAAGGATATTGGTGAGGCTCTAAAAGAAAATTTCTCTCAAGACTACTAGATTAACCCTTTTATAGCAGATAAATGGGTATTAAGGTTTGAGGATGGAAGATTGTTAAACTCAGAGTGGGTTAATGGTTCGTGGTGAAACTTGAAAGGTAGGAGAGTTCTATATATAGCTAGAGAGATGGTGTTTTGAAGATCACAGTAGAAAGGAAGTGGTGGAAGATTTTGGAGATTGGATAAGGATTTGTGACTTACCTTTAAATTTTTGGCACAAGCAATGCTTTGAAGCAATAGGAGTTCAGCTCGGTGGTTTAAAGAATATATCCTACAAAACCCTGAATCACTTGGATTGCTCGGAAGCTCTGATTCAGGTGGAAGAGGACTCATGTGGATTCTTACCTGCATCAATAGAAATTAACACAAAGTTCGGTAGCTTTGTAGTTCATTTAAACGAGGTTGAAAGTCATGAGAAAAATAAAGTTTGATTTCCAGTAAGATGTTGGTTGCAAGATCTTCAAATGTGTTAGATGTTCAAAGGCTTCATTTGTTATTGTCAGATGATGAGTCTCTTCAAGGGTTTTTATCTGATAAAATCATAAAATAAAAGATGAAAGATTTTTTGCGATTTTGAATGAGAGTCTAGAGGGCAAGCCCAAAAGGTCCTCCTCCTATTTTGGAAAACATATTGTTGAGACTCGTTTGATCAAGGAAATGAACTACGTAAAGAATCCCATCCTTTTAAGGTTTGAGGACGGTAGATTAATGAACTCAAAGTGGGTTAATGGATCCTAGCGAAAGGTAGGAGAGTTCCATTTGAAGCTAGAGAGATGGAGTTTTTTGAAGATCACAGCGAGAAGGAAGTGATGGAATACTTTGGAGGTTGGGTAAAAATTTATGATTTACCTTTAAATTTCCAAGAGGATCTCCTACAAAGCCTTAAATCTCTTGGATTGCTCAGAAGCCCTAATTCAGGTGGAAGAGAACTCGTGCATATTCTTACTGGCATTAATACAAAATTAACACACAATTTGGTAGAATTGTAGTTCGTGTGAAGGAGGTTGAGAGTTTTGAGGAAAAAAAGTGTTTGATCTCCAGTAAAATGTTGGTTGCAAGATCTTTAAATGTGATAGATGTTCAAAGACGTCATTTGTTATTATCAGATGAAGAGCTTAGAGTCTTCTCAAGGGTTTTCATCTGATAAAAGAAAATTTGAATATGAAGGTAGGTTTGAAAATGTAGAGGGCAGCTCAAATGTTCTTTCTATTTTGGATAACATTTCGCCGAAACTTTTGTCTGATCAAGAGAACGAATTGAGAATTGATTCTCAACCTTTAGAAGGTGTTAAGGTAACCAAGACAAGTGACGACTTGGTTGATAGTAGTCGTAGTCTTAACCCTGATTTACTTCTGCCTAGGACTATTATTCCTCCCCTGCCATTATTTTATTCGAGAAAAAAGAATGACTCACCAAGGCAAAAAAGGAAAGATGAGGGTTCCAGAAAGGCGTTTCACCTCTCAGCCATGGTATCATCAATTCAACAAGTGAGCAGTCCAATTTACTTATCAAGGATAACGTTTTGTCTAATGATGAAGAAGATTGCAATATAAGTGTTAGTAGTAAAGATCCAGCAGAATATGTGCAAGAACAAGAGGCTGTTATTGAAGATTTATTAGTGGTTTCCCTAACAGAGGAACTTAATTTACTTTTTGCACAGGATAAATTACACTCTTTTGCAAAAATGGATTTCATTCCTTCTCCTCCTCGGGAGCAGACTTTGGAAGTCGAAAATGCTTCTTGCGCAGATAATCAAGGTTTTTTTAAATTTTTTGAAGATGTTGGCCTTACCCTAGTTCCAATCACTGAATAGTAGGCTTTAATTTTGGGCATCAGGTTTTTGGCTGTTTCCGCTTCGCAACAGTTTTGAGGGTTGAGATTTTTTCGCTTTTGTGTCTTCTCTCGGTGGAGGGAGGTTTCAGTTTCTTTTATTATGGTGATCAGCTTGTGTGAAGTGATTGGTTTTGATTTCTTCTTCAGCAATCTGTCCCTTTGAATTTGCGAGCTTTATCGATATCAGTGTTCAACATTTGTTCTGAGACTTCAGATCTTATCTTTTTTATGGGTTTTTTATCTTTATGTTATGTTTGTTTTTTCTTTTTCTTTTTTCGCTTCTCTGGGAGCTTGTATCCTTGAACCTTTTTCTTCCTTTTGATATTATCAATGAATAGTTGGTTTCTTGTTAAAAAAAAAAGAATCCTATCTTTTGGAAGGTGATAAGGCAACCAACGATTTGGTTGTTAGCAGCCTTAGATTTTGCCCTGATTTATCGCTGCCAAGGAATTTTATTCCTTCCCTGCCATTTTATTATTCGAACAAGAAGCAATCACCAAGGTTTTTAAACGGTATTGACTCATTAAAGGTAGTTGGCTTAAATCAAGTCAATTTAGAGAAAGGTTTATTTAGTCACTATGTCTCGAAGAGGTTCATTTCTAAATGAGAAAAGTTTTCTCAAAGAGGTTCATTTTAATCCTTGATTTTTCCAAATAAGTTAAAAATAATCTTTACGTCAGTATTGTAGTAGCTACGATCTTACTTGAACAAGACCTATTCTATAGGTTGTATAACTTTGTCCTTGAGTTTTAAGTATTATAGTTGCTAATGTTAATTTAAAAATATATTGTTTGTTGATATAATAATAATAATTAATTAACTTAACTCCTGACACACGGACACACGTATGTAAAAAAATAAATAAATAACCAAACTCAAATTTACTAAAAATTAACAACGGAAGAAATTAAACATTAAAAAAATCAATTTTGAAAAGAATTATTAACTTAAAACGCACACTTCCAAACACAAAATTAATAAGAAAATGAAAAGTGTTGCACCTTGATTGATAAGTGGTATAAATACACACTTTTCCAAGGCAAATGAGGGTTTGAGAAGATGGAGTCTTAAACCTTCAGAATTATCTCTGTTAAATATCTCTTACAGTAGCTTGCTTCTTCCTCTCTATTGTCGAAAGAGTTATTTTCAGCTATACAGAAATGAAATATCCTAAAAGAATCAACATATTTTTTGTCGTTTTGTGAGACATTTGGCTCAAGAGAAATAGCTAGAAACA